ATTTGTGACAACATTGTTAGATCTTGAGAATATCATGCTAAGTGAAATAAGTCAGATGCAAATGTCAAGAACCATGTGATTTCACTCATATGTGAGATATAAAATTAAAAATAACAAATGAGCAAACAAGGCAAACAAACAAAAACTCATAGATACAGACAACAGTATGGTGGTTACCAGAGGGAAAGGGGGTGGAGGGGAGATAGAAAGGAATAAGAAAGGTCAAATATATGGTGACAGAAAGAGATTTGACTTCGAACACACAGTGCAATATACAGATGATGTATAATATTATAGAATTGTATACTTGAAACATATAATTTTATTAACCAATGTCACCCCAATAAATAAACTTCAAAACTAAAGAAGCAAAAATAATTATAGCTTTGTGCAGTGAAAATTATCAGTATTTTCCTATATAACAAGAATTTCATGTCCTGTATATAGAGAGAAAGTTTTAGACTTGATTATTTCTTTTGCAGATTAATTTGGTGTGTGAAAGAGTGTTTTCTTACTGTTTTTTCTGTGTCATTTTGACTGTCTTTTTCTTTTAGGAGAATAATGTTTAATGATATTTAGAGGCAGAAATCAAAATTTTAATTTTATAAAATATCTAATTTTGTTGGTAACAGACTTTTTGCAGTGTCCCTGGTGAACATTATACTCCAGCTTTAAAATGTGAAATAAATGCAGAAGAGCAAGTGACTTCTGGTGTTCATCCTTCTGAAAATCAAAAAGCAGAATTGCAAGATTACAGATATGAAGTTCAAGGTAATAAAGCTTATACCACATTATTAAACTGTTAATTTTCTTAAATGAATTGATAAACTTTTACATTTAATCATGATTTAATTCTTAGTTTGGGTTTATCATCTTGTCTTCATTTCTGATTCATGAAATCTTATATTTAATACACACTCTTATTTTATAATGCAATAATTGTGATATAAAGGGAACTGGAGCTGTCCAAAAGTTTCCTTGTCTCGTTATGCACTTCCTCTATTCTCATCTTTTCCTGACTCTAATTCTTTCCTTAATTTTATACCATAGATCCAAACCTTTAAAGATACTGTATTTATTGAACAAGTTTATTTCAATTTTTCTTTTTTTAAAGAATAAGAAGACATAAAACTACCTTTCTTAATAGGAATCCAGTATTGCCATATTTTGCCATGTACAATGCACAGTATATTTGCCCAAATTTGTGAGGGAAAAATAAGGATGCACATTATACATGGGTAGTACTAATTCCATATTTATATAAATGTTTTTAATTTTTGTATTTATGCTTATGAGTTAAAAATGTAACTCTAGAAATCGATAACGATATCCATATGCAAAATAATGCCCTGGAATACAATAATCGGTTTTGTTGAACTTACAACAAACTTGCAATGATGAAGAGTTCTTGGCCGTCTATGGTGCGTAAATATTGTAAATTTGTTACCAGTACATAATATTTCTTGTACCTTGTATGTTCTTGTGTTTTGTAATTATTTGTTACATAAAATTTCTTGTACCATAATGTGTTAAAAAATAAATGCTAAAATTCCTTCATAATACAAAAAACAAGTACCTAAATGTAAACAAATAAAAATTTGAATTAAAATGAAAGATTTTTTTCCATGAAAGTTTGGGCCAAAAATGTGTGTGCGCATTATACATCGGAGAGCATTATAGACGGCCAAATACGGTAGTTTATTTCTACAGTTTGCAGTCTCAGTTAATTTTTTGGTGTGTCTTCACAAACAACACTTTTTTCCTTGGTCCATTTGAACAAAATGTGTACAAATTAATGTACACATTAATGTATTTTAATATGAAATTGTCAAATTATCTTTGTGGCAGGTGTTTCACATTAATGAAATTTTAGTTTTTGTTTACTAAATATATGAAGTTTACTTCCAGGAGACAATTTCTAAAGTTATTAATAGATGAATAATGCTTATTTAAAGAAGCAGACTTTTACTGTGGAGTGAAATTATTATAATTGTTTATCACCTAGAATGTCAAGAAAATGTGCAAACTCTTCTCAACAAAGTAACAGAAGAATACAACAAACTTTTGGTACTTCGGACACGGTTAAGTAAGGTGTGTAAATGCAAAATATATCATGTTTGCATTTATAGTGTGTGTCGTTTTGTAAGCTTCATCAAAAATTTCTAGAATAAGGGAACATGAAAGAGGAGATAAGGCAAAAGTGACATTCATTTATAGTATCAGTGAGTTGATGGAATTTCTGCAATTTAAATACTATTTACACCTTTAGAGAGGTTTAGAAATCATGGTAAAATACTGGCGGTGCCAAAAAAATGTATACAAGTGGACACTTTGGTCAACGTTGCTCAAGCAGTCGTTTGCCATAATCAGAAGTGGCTCGATGCTGATGGTAACCACTCGGAGCATCTCGTGTAATTGCAGAAGTCAAATGTGACTTGTATTCATCGTTTATCGGTATATATTGAGTATTACAATTTTAATGCAGCTTTCCTTTATTAAAATGTGTATACCTTTTTTTGGCACCCCTGTACATATAAAATGTAAAATTGTAAACTTTGTGAAAGTGTTGCATTTAATTTTATGCAGAACTCTTTAAAGCAGTAGGTCTGTTTTATAGAAAAATAGTAAATCGTTGTTTAGAACATAGCTAATATGTTTCACAGTGTTGTATTTGTCAGATGTTTTTCCAGGTAGTTTTTCTAGGGTTCTGGTAGGCAGGTCAACTGTCTTCTGAGCTGTGGCTCCCTTCATATGTGCTTTAGCTGCTGTTTTCTCCACCTTGTTTAATCACTCTTTCACCCCTTTTCTGTTTTCTGGACATTGTTTGAAATCTCTCGTTTTCTTCTTTTATTTTCTTGTTTATTATGAATTCATACCTTTTAAAGATTCCTCACTATCATTTTAATTGAGTCATAGGGAGGGAAGAGAGAGATGTCAGACATCACAGACGTAACTGCCCNAAAAAAAGCAGAAAAAAACCACAAATATGTGGGGATTAAACAAGATCCTACTAAAGAATGACTGGGTCAAAGAACAAATAAAGGAGAGATCAAAAGATACATAGCAACCAATGACAATACAAATGCAACATATTAAATCTTTTGGGATACAGCAAAAGCCATAGTAAGAGGGAAGTTTATATCATTACATGCCTATCTCATAAGACAAGAAAAATTGCAAATAACCTAACATGACATCTTAAAGAACTAGGAAAAGAACAAATGAAGGCCAAAGTCAGCAGAAGGAAGGAAATAATAAAAATTTGAGCAGAAGTAAATAAAATAGAAAACAAAAAGATCATAGAAAAAATTAATGCAACAAAGAGCTGCATCTTTGAAAAGATTAGTAAAATGGAGAAACCTCTAACTAGACTCACTAAAGAAAAAAGAGAAAAGACACAAATAAACAAAATCAGAATTGAAAGAGAAGTGACAACAGATTCCATGAATATAGAGGATCATACAAGAATACTGTGAAAGACTGTGTACCACCAAATTCAATAACCTGGAAGAAATGCACAAGTTCTTAAGAATATATAACCTTCCTAGACCAAATCGCAAAGAACTGCAAAATCTAAATAGACGGATTAACAGTAAGGAAATTGAAACAATCATCAAACACCTCCCAAAAAGAAAAAATCCAGGACCCAATGGCTTCACTAGTAAATTCTAACAAACATTGAAAGATGATTTAATATCCATCCTCCTCAAACTGTTGCAAAAACTTAAAGAAGAGGCAGTGCTTCCTAAACATTTTATGAGGCCAACATTGCCCTGATACCAAAACCTGGCAAGGATAACACAATAAAAGAAGAACACAGTCCAACATTTCTGGTGAATACAAATACAAAAATCCTAAACAAAATACTAGCAAATCGGATCCAACAGTACATTAAAAAGATTATACATCATGATCAAGTGGGGTTCTTTCCAGTGGTACAAGGATGGTTCAACATATGCAAATTGATCAATGTGATATACCACATAAACAAAGTAAAGGATAAAGAGCATATGAAAAAGCATTTGACAAGATACAACATCCATTTATGATTAAAACATTTAATAAAATGGGTATACAAGGAAAGCACCTCAACATAAAAAAAGGCCATATGTGACAAACCTTTAGTTAATATACTTAATAGTGTAAAACAGAAAATTTTCCGTCTACTGTCAGGAACAAGACAGGGATGCCCTCTCTCACCGCTGTTATTCAGCATAGTATTGAAAGGCTTAGAGCAGTCAGGCAAGAGAAAGAAATAAAAGGCATCTATATTGGGAACAAGTCAAATTGTTACTTATTTGCAGACAACATGACTCTTTACATAGAAAACCCTAAAGATGCCACCCAAAAGTATTAGATATAAACAAATACGAGTATAGTAAAGTTTCAGTATACAAAATAAATGTATAAAAATGCACTGCGTTCCTATATACTAACAATGAAACTTCAGAAAAATGAAAAATTTCTTTTGCAATTGCAACAAAAAGAATAAAATGTCTAGGAATAAACTTAAAAAATGATGTGAAGGACCAATACACTACAAACTATAAGAGATTATTAAAAGAAATTGAAGAAGACTCAAAGAAAGGGAAAAATATTCCATGTTCATGGATTGGAAGAATCAACATAGTTAAAATGGACATATTACCCAAAGCAATATGCAGATTTAATGTAATTTCCATCAAAACCCCAATGTCATTTTATAAAGAAAGAGACCATACAATCTTCAGATTTGTATGGAAAAAGCCCTGAATAACCAATGCAGTCCTGAAAAAGAAAAAAACCAAGGCTGGAGGCATCACATTCCTTGACTTCAGTTTATACTACAAAGTGACAATAAAACAGCATGGTATCAGCAGAAAACCAGATACACAGCCCAATGGAATAAAATTCAGAACCCAGAAATAAACCATCATATATATGGGCAGATAATTTTTGACAAAGGAGCTAAAAACAATAATGAGAAAAGACAGCCTCTTCAATAAATGGTGCAGGGAAAATCAGAAAGCCGTGTGCAAAACAATGAAACTAACTGCTTTCCGTCACCATATATCAAAATTAATTCCAAATGGATCAAAGACTTAAACATAAGATATGAAATGATAAACTGCATAAAAGAAAGCATAGGTACTAAACTTATGGACTTTGGGTTCAAAGAGGATTTTATGAATTTGACCTCAGAGGCAAGGGAAGTAAAAGCAAAAGACTTTACTTTTGGGGACTGTATCGACCTAGAAAGCTTTTGCACAACAAAAGAAACCATCAACAAAAATAAGAGGCAACCAGCCAAATGGGAGAAGATATTTGCAAACAACACCTCTGATAAAGGGCTAATATCCAAAATATATAGAACTCATTCAACTCAACAACAAAAACCAAACAATCCAAATAAAAAATGAGCAGAGGACTTGAACAAGATACTTTTCCCCAAAAAAAAACATACAAACAGCCAACAGATATATGAAAAGATGCTCAACTTCACTAGCTATTAGGGAAATGCAAATCAAAACCACAATGTGATACCACCTCACACCTGTTAGAATGGCTACTATCAACAAGACGCAATAACAAGTGTTGGAGAGGATGTGGAGAAAAAGGAACCCTCATATTGCTGATGGGAANTGGAGACATTTCTCCGTGCCAAAAGGTCCTTGATATTTAAATCTCGCTCTTCTGCTAGAGTCAAACCCTGACCCATCTATGCAACTCCATGTGCCATTACCAGCTAGCCTACTGAAGCGAGAAGGGTTATTACAGTACAGCCATACGGAACTATTGGACCAATAAAACGTGATAGTATTTTTTTATGTTTTAATCCTGTAAACCAAAAGTATAAATAAACATTATGGGCTATTTGCACCCAGGGACGTATTCTAAGCATGGGCGTTTTTGACAGGACCAAATACCAAGGACCATTTGTCATGAACCACATATGCTCATGGATGTTTTTGGTAGGACCACATTTCAAGGACCTTTTGACATGGATCAGATGTCTCAGTTGTTGTTTTGGGCAGGAGCAAGTGTCCTGCAAGGATTCCTTTTACCTAGAATGGCCTTTCTCCAGATATTTGCATAACCATCACACTTACCTCCTTTGGGTCTTTACTCAAAGGCCATGCTCTCATGAGGCCTATTCTGATCACCCTCTGTAAATTAAAATCACCCCTTAGAACTCTGTGACCTAATCACCTGTTTTGTTTTTTCCATATTACTTAATATTGCCTATTATATATATAAATAAAAAACGTGTGTGTGTGTGTGTGTGTGTGTACATATATACACTATATTTCTATTTATACTTATATTTATATTGTGGTTTGTTTTTGCTTGTTGCCTGTCTCCTGTGAAGGACTTTATAAGGGTAGGGATTTTTGTGTATTTAAGTCACTTCTATATCCCAAACACTATAATAATTCCCCATGACAGTAGGTATTCAATAAATATTTAAGTGAATGAACAGTTTATAATTTAGTTGGGAAGTATGCTGTAGTTTTCAGCTAGCTCTGTTAAGTCCTCAGATTTCATCTACCTCGTGTTGGCTCTCCTGGTCTAGGACTGATGTCTCCATAGGTACTAATCTCAGAACAATTTTCTTTTTTTGAGACAAAATACTGAATGTCCACAGTTTTTTGCAAGTGGTCTTTCTCCTTCTTTTATTCAGGCTCAGTATGTAGGCTTTGGAATTGTTCACCCAGCATTGGCACAGCCTTCTAATGCTTCCTTTTTATTTGAGATCAGTGGTTCCCTAACTTGACCATGCATCAGAAAAACTGGAGGGTTTTGAAATTTAATATTATTTTTTGACTACTTAAAATTACAGACTCAATAGCTTTGAGATGAAACCGGGACACTTGTCTTTGTAACAAGATAATTCTGATGCAGGCAGCTCATGGTTTGGCACTTGGAAACCACTGCTTTAGGTTTTGTGATATGAAGGAAAACAGGTAGATAGCAAGAACTCTCTAATAACCAGCTGCTGTATTTCAAGTAGTCTTCCTTTAATTTGTGATGCTTTCTCTCCAAAGCATGAAGAAAAGGGAGTTTTCTGGAAATGTAGACTGACTTTGCTGTTTCTGCATTTGGGCTTTTGTCAGCTCACCACCCTCTCTCAGAGTTTATGTAATACTTACTGGGAAGGTACTGAGAATACCTTTCAAATAAATCATTGGTTTTCTTTCCTCCAACCCCTGCTCCCCCAAAAAGAGGTTTCTGACTACCATGCTCACTCCTACTAGCAGTAATAAGTCAAAGTTATTTCTTGTAAATGTCCTCACATATTTGGACACAGCCATAACATTAAGGTAGACTTGAACTAGTTTAAGAAAAATAATTGAGTCATTCATTTAACAAATACTTGGTTATGCCATTACTAGAAGCCTCCTAGGGATATAGTGTGGGATCTACCTTAAGAGTCAGACAGACCTGCATTTGACCCCTGATTTGTCTTTTTACTGGCTTTATGATTTGGGGCAGATAATTTAAACATCTCTGTAATGATAATAACTACCCTTAAGATTGTGAGGGAAGACTAACCTTGGCTTTATGCCATGGAAGAAGATTTAGGTGTATATAAAACGGCCTTTTCCCTTAAGGGACATCAGTCTAATCATTGAAACAATAATTATTTACAAAATAATTTTTAAAAGTAGTGATTAGGGAATATAACATGGTGATACAACAGGAGTGCTGGAATTTAAACTAATCTGTGTGGTATTTTTCACTGCCTATCACTGTACATTTCTCTAATGTTAGGCTGGCTACAGGGGAAAAGAAAATGAAGGGATGAATATGAGACATTGGGATGGAAGGAATGTTGGGAGCAAAGCAGAGGAAAAATCATAAGATAACCCTGTGTTGTTTGAGCTTAGAGAATATGGTGAATAATGGTGCATTAATGTAAATAGAGAAATCAGACTTTTAACTGTAAGGGGAGCAGTGAATTTGGTTTTAGACAGACGTTTTTTGAATTTGGGATAAATCCTTCAAATGCTATAAAACTACAGAATGAAGTCATTGTGACCAAGCACTTTTTTGGAGTTTGGGTCTTAATGGCTGGATAAATAATCAGGAGGGTTTTCTAGGCCATGACAACAAAAATCAAGACATGAAACTAAGAATCAGAATAGTGTATGTAAGAGGCAATATGGAAACAGACAAAATAATGAGGAAGATAAAAGAACCAAGAAAGGGCAGAAGAGAAAGTCAAGGGAAACTAGTTTTTACATTCATTTAACTTGAACATAGAACGTAAATATAGAGCATGAATAGGCGATTCATAGCAGAAGAAATTTACATAGCCAATAGCGTTTGAAAGGACATCTAATCTCAAAAATACAGACATACATGTTCTAACAAAGTTTTAAGACTGTTAAAACTAGGTGCTGCTGAAGTTTTGAGAAAATACTTAAGTGATACTGTTACGGGAATAAAATCAACGTAACTTTTTGTAATATAGCATTATATTAAAATCTTAAATATGAAGCCTGACAATTATTTGTAAGATTTTATCACATAGAAACATCCAAATGATGTGTGCAATGATGTATTTATGAGGATCTAGTATATTGTAGCATTATTGGTAATAGTGAACATTTGGAGACAACCAAATGTCTATCAGTAGGGGATTGGTTGTGTAAGTTTTGAAATGGAATGATGACAACTTGTATGTGTCCAGTTTGAGACAGAATGAAAGAAACAGTATGAAGAAGGGTGGGTAAGAGGAGGATGGAATTAAAGAAAGCATGGATGCATATGAAACTGGGAGTGAGAAATTATATTAGTTATAAAAGAAAATTATAATTTCCCCCTTTAATCTTTTTCCATAGTTCCTAAATAATAGTCTTGCCTTATTTTTATGACCCAAGTGAAGCATTTTAAGAATTTTTTACAAAATAATGAATGCTTGTAGAACAATACAGAATAAAGACATGAATACCAAAAGATACATAGATTAAAAAAAAAAAAAACCAAAATCTAGAAGTGACTATGTGTTCTGCCACTGCTCCCCAGTTCTACTTAGAGATAATCATTGTTATTTTTTGTGTGTATTCTTCTAGATTTTGTTTGTGTGTGTAAACAATTTTTAAGAAAAATGAGATTTTTACCAACTTTTACTCAATAATATAGATAACTTTTTAAAACGTCTGTACCTGTAAATAGCTCCAGGTCATACATTTGTTGTAGACTTCATAAAACAGTATAAAATTCAATGGTGATCTCATAAAATACGCTTATTGTTCGATTGATTGTGCTACTTTACTTTTAAGTGGAAAAATTACAAAAAATATTATTTAAGTTACAATATATATAACTCTTGACCTATCATTTTTATTCCCCTGCCCCTGTGCATATTTGTGCATGCTTTTAAATTTGGACTAACAGTAAAGCTCACAATGCTAATTCTTTCACCCTCTTTTATTTGTATTTAGCTCATCCATTGATTCAATGGAAATTACTGAATCTGATGTACAGAAAACTATCTTCCCTGGAACTTGTCTAAAACAGAACATAGATGGTACAATACAGGTATATGTTTAAACTGTAATGTCCAGATTTTATTTTTCTTGCTATCATTTTTATGTCTGTGGTTTAGTAATTATCCAATAAATGGTTGCTGAGAAATAAGCATAATAAATACGAGGATAATATCTTACGTAAAAAACCCAGAAGATTAAAGGCTTCTTTTTTTTTCTTTCCTCCTAAATATGTTCTAGTGTAAAATTTGTCTTGTTTTGTGTTACATGGGCTGTGTAACAAATTAGTTTCAGTGCCCTGGTCAACAGCTTTTCTTTCCACCTTGAGAAGGTGGGACTAGACCATCTCTAGAATAGACTTTTGTATTCACTCTAACACAAGGGCTGGGACAGTGGGTGAGGCATCCATCAGCACAGGCCATGCGATGTGTAAAAGCCCTCATCTTTTACAGTGTGTACCATCTAGCTAAACCACTTTCTGCTCTTCTGCCTCTCCTCAACATTGTATATATTCCAATCTGTGTCCACTTTTCTCAGACTTCAGCTGCAAAACCCTGGTCTTCACTTAGTAGATGTTTAGTTCTTAGGTTTACAGAAAATAAGGATCATTGCCCACTCTCATTCTGGGTACAGAGGAGAGATGTTGGCTGCATTCTTGATTCTTCCACACTCGTCCCATATCGAGTACCTGTTTGAATGACAGTCAGATAATTGGTAAATAAAGAAATACTTTCATGCTGAGAACAGATTTACATTTTAAAAAACTGTTGATGGCTTTTTCTATTTATACAAGTAATTTGTATTTGTAGAAAATTGGATACTATCAATAAGTACCAAGGAGAAAAGGAAATTTGCTTATAATTTCATGAGTGAAGATAGCCACTGTTAACATTACTTAAAATTAGATACACACATGTTTTGTTAATTATATTTAAGAAGTATCTTTATCCCACTCTAGGACTATATGTTAGTAATTAAAAATATGTAAACATATCTCTCACTTTCCATCTTGGTTAAATCACAATACTAAGTACAATTATTTAGTAGACTTATACACTAGAATTATTCACTAGATTTATTGTTTTTAATTAAGAGCAAAACTGCAATTTATTTATTAAAATTTCTCAGAAGTTTTCTAAGAAACTGATCTTTTGAAGATATTTGAGAGAAATTTAAAAATAAGTGGTGTATAATTAGTATAAATAAGTACGTAATATTCTGCTTTTTAATTTAGATTTCTGGTGGTGAATTTGGAGTGGACCAGGAAACAAATAGGATTAAGTTGCTGGAAAAACAGTACCAAGAACGCTTAGAAGAAGAAGTAGCTAAGGTAAGTTTATAGTTAGTACAGAAGATTATTGTGGTGTATACTTCCTTTGAGCCTTCAAAAGCATAGATTTTGTTGATGGTAATGCACTTTATTTTTTGTTATATATTTCATACATAGCTCATCTTTAAGTTGTTAACTGGTATCAACCACAATTGTCTTTAAGTGGAATGTCCTGTGAATTTTTCTTTGAGAAAAGCATTCTTCTCTTGTTATAGAATAGTAATTAGAAACTTTTCAGAATGCCAAAACAGGTTTTTACAAGTTTATTACCATGTGAGTAGTACCTTCTGAAGGAGTTCAGCCTTCCTTAAAGGTGGAAGATAATGGTAGGAAATGACCAAGAAGGTGCTCAGTCTTTTATGTATTACCTTTCCCTACCTTCTCCCAGAGAAGTTACTGTGATGTTAACCACTGTAGCTAGCATTAGCTGCTATGCCCAAGGCCATTAAAACTCCTGAATACCAAGCATATCATCTAGCCTACCATTATGATTCCATTTATTTTTGTCTTTGTATTTTCTTTTAAAATGTTTATAGCTAATTGCGTTCTTTTATTGGAACAGTTGAATTTGAGTTTGCTTACTTTTTTACAATATTTCAACTGTTCCAATATAATAACCCCAGTAGAATATATGCATTGTAAAGTGGGAGGATTGATAGGATATACAGAAAGTGCATACGAAATTAGGTTAATCATCAATTAGATAAGGTCAAGATCCAAGGAAATATATGTGCCATAATGACTTATTCACTTTTGTATCTGAATTGAATGTTTAGTTCCTGGAGATCAAACTAAAAAGTGAGGTACCATCACTTTTATATAGTTCTCATTGTCTAGTTCTTTAGAGAAATGTAGGTTTTCCCTTGCATACTTAGGTCTTACATAAGTTTCTGAAGTGGAATGTTATAGCAGGGCATCATAGTATAGCAATTTGGAGCAAGAGATTTGGTATGGGATATACCATGCTTTAAATTCTTGTTCTTCTGATTTACTAGATCTGTGATCTTAGGAACTTCTGAACCTCAGTTCTCTCTATGTTAAAGAGGAAAATAATAAACATAATAGTAATTCTTCTTCAGTAATAGGATTCAACTAATACATATAAAGCACCTAGCAGATGAAAAGACTGTTACCGTACTTCCCCATGTATAAAACGCACCCTTTTCC